CAAAACTAAACATTAAAACAAAACAATTTTTTAAATAAATAAAATTTATGAGTAAAGGCAAAGGAACTAGAGTAACCAAAACAAATTTTGAAAAAGAACAAAGCCAGACAAATCATACTACCCATTTTCAAGACTTACCACAGCGCTGTGATAATCAAGTCAAGATGGTGTGGTATTCGTGCAAGCACAGACAACAGACAAAAGAGGAAGTCCAAAAGTAGAGGCAACTGACTTATAACAAAGGTACAAAAGCAACCGAATGGAGAAAGAAAAGTCTCTTCAGCAGATGGTGCTCGAACACCTGGACATTTGTATGCAGACTAAAAAACAGGAACCTCAACACATGCCTCACGCCTCATACAAAAATTAATTCAAAGTGGATCACAGACTGAATGTAAAATATAAAACTTAGGGAAGAAAATCTGCACGGTCATGGGTCATGAAAGCTACTACACTACTAAGAGAATAAGACAGCCCCCACCCTGGGAGGTGTTGCAAATCACTTATCTGATAAAAGACTTCTATCTAGACGGTACGGGTACGAAGAGCTCTTAAAACCCAACAACAGGGGCACCTGGGTGGCTCAGTCGGTCAAGCATCTGACTCTTGGTTTCGGCTCGGGTTATGATCTCACAGTTTGTGAGATCGAGCCCCATGTTGGGCTCTGCGCTGAAGGCACAGAGCTGGCCTGGGATTCTCTCTCTCTCAAAATAACTAAATAAGCATTTAAAAAAAAAAAACAATAAAAAACTCAGTTTAAAAATGGGCAAAAGATCTGAACAGATGATGCTACTCCAAAGAAGATATACAGGTGGCAAAGCAATTATAAAAATACGTTTGCGGCAACAAAAAAGCAAATAGTCCAATTAAAAAGGGGCAAAGGACTTGACCAGACCTTTCTCCAGAGAGAATACACAAATGGCAAGAATCACATGAAGAGTGACTCAACACCGCTAATTCTTAGATGCTAGTGGAAACCATGAAGTCTCACCTCGAACGTATGAGGATGGCTACTATCCAACACAGAAAATGAGCAGTGTTGCTGAGGATGTGGGGAAACTGGAGCCCTGTGCATTGCAGGTGGGGATGCTGTAAGAAACCATAGGGTGGCTTCCTCAAAAAATTAAACACAATTACCTTATGTCCCAAAAATCTCACTTCTGGGCATTTCCCTGAAGAACTGAAAGCAGCATGGCAAAGACACCATCTCATTAGGGAGGTGCAAATTAAAAGCACAAGATACCACTGAACACCTGTCCTAGATCAGAGGAAGCTAAAGACACATGCGGCGGGGCTCAGGAGGTTAAGCGTCCGACTCCTGATCTCAGCTCAGGTCTTGACTTCACAGTCGGGAGTTTAAGCCCCGCGTTGGGCTCCGCACAGAGTACGAAGCCTACTTAAAATTTAAAGAGAGAGAGAGAGACACTAAAGATGCAGTGTGTGATTCGGACTTGGGTCCTGGAGCAGAAAGAGGACACAGTAGAACAACTGGTGAAATCCCAGAGGAGTGTGTAGTTTAATGTTACGGTACCAATGTTAATCCCGTAGTTCTGACCACTGTGCTATGGTTTTATACAGACTGGTCTGCTATAACAAAATTCCGTAGACCGAATGGCTTAAACAACAGACATTTATTTCTCATGGTTCTGGAGGCTACAAAGTCCAAGGCCCGGCTGCTACCTCAGTCCCGAGGGAGAGCTCTTTTCCTGGCTGGTAGAGATGGCCGTTCTTCTTGCCGTGTCCTCAGTGGCAGAGAGAGAGAGGCAGGTAGAGAAAGGGCTCTCCGGTCTTCTTTCAAGGCACTAATCCCATCACAAGGGTCCCACCTCAAGATATCATGCACACCTAATTGCTTCCCGAAGGCCTGGCTCCAAATCCCAGCACACGGTGGGGTAGCACTTTACTGGAGGAATTTTGGAGGGGACACAGTTCAGCCCCCGAGCATTACGTGGGGTGTTAATATTAGCAGAACCGAGTGGAGGGCGTACAGGAACTCCCTCTCAACTATCTCTGGAACTTTTCTGTACATCTAAAACTATTCAAAGATTTCTTTTTTAATTTTGTAATTTAATTCTTTTGCCGTCAATAAGAAATTTACTCGTTTAAAGAAAAATCCAAATGCTGGCATTGTCCAGAAAAATGTAAACAGGCCTATTTATAATTGCTACAAAGGCGAACGGCTGAAACGTGTTCCCCAAAGCATTTTGGCTTCCGCATGAATGCTTTGTGTCCCCGCATTTATATTAAAACATTCACAGGCAAATGAAAATGGAAAAACTGCCAATATCTCTTCCTGCCCCCTATGTTTCCATTTGCAATCATATACTGAAGTACCTTTTGACTCCATGGAAAAAAATATCTGACGTTCAGAACTACCAAGAACAAGAAGAGGAGAATTTTTTTTTTTTAATTAACGAATGAAATGTTTTCCATCAGAGTAGATTCTTAAGCACATTCTCCACGTACGAGGCGTGCCCGCTGGATGTCTTTTGGCCTAACTGTTACACGTTTGGCACGGAGGGCACGCCGGCTGGTGTCCTCAAAGAGGCCCACCAGCTAGGCCTCGTGTGCCTCCAGGAAAGCACCAATAGCCGTGCTCTGTAAGCGCAGGTCTGCTTTGAAGTCCTGAGCACTTTCCCGCACCAGACGCTGGAAAGGAAGTTTGCGGATCAGAAGTTTGGTGGACTTCTGGTAACGTCTCATGTCCCATGTCACAGAGTGCGGTCCAGGCCTGTAACGATGAGGTTTCTTCACCCCGCCAGTAGACGGCGCACTCTTGCGAATGGCTTCCGTAGCCAGTTGCTTCCTGGGTGCTTTATCACGGGTCGATCTACGAGCAGTCTGCTTTGTACGAGCCCCAGGTAGTGAGACCTCCTGACTTACCTCCCTTCTCCTTCAGCTGGAGCTCGGTGATCTAGAGGCAGCACGGGCGGGAACGATTGTGTCTCCCTCTCTCTTTGACCCTCCCCCATTCATGCTCTGTCTCTCTCTTTCTCAAAAATAAACACTAAGTTGACAATAAACTATTTGTAAAAATAAAAAAAATAAACACTAAGAAAAAAAAAAAGCCTTTTTAAAGGTAAAAAAACTCAAGGCCAGGGGTACCTGGCTGGCTCAGTCAGTAGAGCATGCGACCGCTGATCTTTCAGGTCATGAGTCTAAGCCCTACGTTGGGCCGTAGAGCTTACTTAAAGAACAAACACAGGGACACCTGGCTGGCTCAGTCGGTAGACATGCACTTCTTGATCTCAGGGTCACGCATTCAAGCCCCACGTTGGGCGTGGAGCCTACGTAAAAACAAAAAAACACAAATAAACTCAAGGTGAGGGGCCTTCAGATCCCCAACCACAGGACCAGGCTGGGTCAAATGGAAGAGAGGCAGTGACAGAATGGCAAGACTGGGAGAAAACAGGAGGCTCAAGGTTCTATGGGGTTTAGAAGCCAGTTCAGTTCACCAGGAGCGATGCTTTTCGTTTTCCTGAAGGAATTCTCAAACACTAAAAGCTCAAGAGCGACGGATGATGCTTTGTTAGAAGCGAGTGAAAACACAGAGTAGTCGGGTGAAAAAGCAGTAGAACAGACATCAAGAAGTCAAAAGGGGAAGATGTTTCCTGAAGGAAAGGATGTGGTCCCTGGTGATAACGAGCCCCAAATGGTCAAGACAAGCTAGTTTTTCAAAAGCGTTTTAACTTCTCTTATGCAGTAAAATGACACTTCCAAATGCCACCAATTATGACAGCTATTAAGACAAACCTTTTACAACACTGTACTATTTTATGAGAGTTGATAATCTGCACGCGCGTGCGTGCACATGCACACACACACACACACACACAGAGTAAAACTCTCCACAATTTCCATACTCTTTACACTAACACTGAAACCCTGTATTTGCTGCTCAAATTCTACAAGAAAATAGAGACCATGGAGAAACTATGTCATAGTATTTTAATAAGCACTTCAGCACGAAAGAATAGAACGCTAAAGAGCACATGCTTATCTGGTGCTAATGACCTAATGATTTGCAGTCTCGAAGATGAAGCAAAATGCGTACTTTGACCCAGATGGTAAAGTGGTTTAGGGCTAGTATCTAAGGAAGACTATTTCAGAAAATGCATGGAAGTGTCTTTACGTCACATTTCATTTGGTTTCTCAAAATGAAACTGGTACCTGTTGTCGACAATGTATTTTTTAAAAAATCCCACAGGAGGGGCAGTTCAGCCCAGTTCTGTCGTCACATTTCTGGCTTTATCACTGGGTATGGGAGCTCAGGAACCTTCTACTCTCAGAGCCTCAGATCCTCATTTGTAAGAAGAGACTGGTAACAGTTAAACCTAGCTCCTAGCGCCGTTGTCTTGGTTACATTAAGAGAATACCCATCGAGTGCTGTCCATGGTCCGACGCATGTCCACTAGCCCGACGCCTAGTGAGGGCTCATTAAAAGTATTATTATTATTACTCCTCCTACGTTTGTCTGTAACTACTGATGAAGTAGCCACCTACTTCAGATGAAGTAGATCTGAAGATCTAAAACCAAACGAACAGATTTAGTGGAAGCGAGAACACGAGGGGAACGCCGTTAGGAGGCTGTGGGCCCAGAACAGGGTTCTGGATCCCTCGAATCTTGGATTTCAGAGGCGGTGGACAGGACCGCCGGGCTATATAGGGTTATGGGAGTTGGTAGCTAGCATGGAGTTAAGGGAAAGGTCCCTGTTTGGAGGTGAAGTCAAGGACTATGCGGAGGTTAAGGTCAGCTATCCACAGGCTGTCTAAGCACCTCTCGGAATGAGGACAGGAATTGAAGTGGAGAGGAAGGCCCAGTTGCAAAGACCTCACTGGATGCAGGAAAATAACTGGGAAGAGGGTGACACGGCCCTGCCCGGGCTTCCCCAGGACCCCTGTCCCTCTGTCTCCCGGTTCTTGCTAGCTCACATCCACCCCTACCTACTCCAACCTACTTTTCCTTCCAAATAAGGACATCGGGGAAAAAAGGCAAAGAAAAATGCCCTATCATTTCCCAACAGCACCTCACACACACGTTTTAGGTGACTGCTAAGCGCAACCCACTGCAGACGATGCAACGAGTTAAAATGCTCCTCCTGCCCCGACAGCTCATAATTCCGAGGAACAGATAAAATCATGCACGTAACACTGCGTACTGACATTGCCGAACGAGTGGGGCAGTAAACGTTTAAATATAACCACACTCCTCTACGCACAGCGAATGTGAAACACCAGATCACAGACAGGCCCCTCTGTTTATCTCAGTATCGTTTCTTCCTCTACGTCTCCGTCCCATATGCCTCTCAGCGGCTCGACCGGACAGACAGTAGGGATTAGCTTAAGGTGCTTACCCTACCTTTTCTCCTTTCAATTGGAGCTGAGCTACCCTACCCGGCCACACCCCCACTCCCAACCCCGCCTCTAATCTGGCTGTTCCTTCTTAGGTACAAAGTCTGAGGAGGAATAACTCACCTAGAGCTTTAAGATTTGAAGTACAGGAACCAAGGCTAGGCCGTTTCTGTAGTTTGTGACTAGGCAAGTTTCTCTGAACATGAAGTAAAGGAAGCTCTATGTAGATTCTGGCTTTTTATGGATTTTCTTCTGACAGCAGAGAGATTCAAACCATAGCCAATACCTGCCAGTCTAAGAATAGAGAGAGCCACTTAAAAGAGTCTGACTTGCTAGGACTTTAAATATCATTCGTGCCATTTTTTTCTATGACACATCATAATATTTTTTTCAAAAATCTTTAAATGTTTTTATTAACTTTGAAGACGGAAGAATAGCTACTTTGGAAACTAGAGACTCTTCAAGCACTGATGTATTCATAGAGTTTCTACACAGCTGAAGAAGTTTACATCAAATGGACCAAAAATAGTACAGAGGACCTATATACGGAAAGATCTGGGCGGGGGGAACCTACGTCTAGAAAGCAGGTCAGATGGACTGAAAGACCTCACTGAAGGTAGGAGAAAGCAATGGAAAGCAATGGAAAGCCTTCTGCTGGGGCCAATAGGTAGGTACCAGTCCATGTAGTCAAGAAAAAGTTCTTTTTCCTCATGATCGCCAGTCTGGGTTGAGAGAAAGGTCCTGATCATTTGAACTGGTTGTCAATCAAGGTCCCCTTCATTTTCGCTTTCTTGGCTTCCAGTTCAGCCTGGGAAGGAAGAAAAGTTTACCCCCTGAGACGTGACATGAAATTCTTCCTTTCCTCCCTCACTCAAACTGCCCCAACTCTATCCCGTCGTGTTCATTTAGTAGAGAAACCAGAAGAGGGGTTGTCAAATCGTCATGAGTGTCCAGCAACTGCTTTCCAATGTTTCTGATATTATGGTTCACACAGGAAATGATGACATCTGTGTGGCAAAGGTGGGGGGGAGTAACACAAGGCTGTGGTCAAGGGTGATCAGTGCAGGGCTCCTACAGCCCCAGGTCCCTCCAAGGGCCCAGGGAAGCAATATCATGGCATACCAGGATCCTATTCCCGGCAGAACATGAAGAAAAACACTCTTCTAGAACAGTGCTGCTTCAAGTTGTGCCATCCATGAACGATTTGTTATTGGTTCATGCAAGATATGTATAAAAATCAAGAGTAAGCATTTAGACACTTGTATAGCAATTTGACAGAGGGATAATAAGAGCAAGTAATTTAATAAAAGTAACTGAGGCAAATTCATTTTTATTGCATTTGATAAATTACAAACCTGTTTCTTTTTAACTTTTTTTTTTTACATTTTTTTATTTATTTTTGAGAGAGACAGACAGCGTGAGGAGGGAAGGGTCAGAAAGAGAGGGAGACACAGAATCCAAAGACAGGCTCCAGGCTCTGAGCTAGCTGTCAGCACAGAGCCCGACGCGGGGCTCGAACCCACGAACCGTGAGATCATGACCTGAGCCGAAGTCGGATGCCTACCCGACTGAGCCACCCAGGCGCCCCTCCAAACGTGTTCTTGACAAATTAGAAATTAAAAAAAAAAAAAGAAAGCCTTGGCCGTTCACCTCAGAACATTTGGAAAGCACTGCCTTGGACACTAAGGCGAGGTCATGCAGCTCCCAAGCCCCCCAACCTGTGTCACCGAAAAACCCTCTATGATCATTAGAAAGGAGTGGTACACCCTTTGAGGAGGCACAAATGTATGATGTCGGAATGTAAGGAAATATCAGAAGTTATTATCAAGAAAACACAAAGGTAGGCACCATCAAATATAAACGTGCGCGCTCCACGCGGAGCCCGTGAAGGACACAGAAACCGGTGTGTGCTCTAAGAGCGCCGATCTGGAGGCCCCGGTCCCCGTACTGCCACTGTAGCGCCACCAGACACCGTCGCACCCTGGGAGAGTGTCCGGGAGCCCCGATCTGTAACTCCTGACTTGGGACCACAAGCAGCAGATGCAAGTACTGCTGTGGCTAGGGCTCTCTCACAAGGGCTGTAACCGGGGGCCTGGACGCTACGGTCACTTGGGCAGGGCTTACCACTGGTTAGAGCCCGGGGTTAGACACCAGGCAGCCAAGCACACTGGCGGCCCCTGACATACTTGCGAAAGGATCTCCCTGACCGTCCGAGGGTCTTTCAGACCCAGAAGCCCTTGCCACTCCAGGCCACTCACCAGCTCCTGCAGCCGCCTTTTGCTCATGCCTTTGCGCTCCAGCTGTTTTTCAATCACTTTGGCGTTCTGCGCATACGAGTCAGCAACCTCTCTCTGAGGGAGAAGAAGAGGCACCTTTAAATCAGGGGTCCGGCCAGTGAGGAACAGGGCCCTTAAGGAGCCATTTAGACTACTCCAATCCCAAAATTACTACTGAAATGGACTCTGTTCCCTTTTCAACGCTTCAGCTTTTTAGTAATCCAGGAGTGCTCAGGTCGCAGCGAAACCATTTTAAAAAGAGTAGATAACACGTCTCTGCAAACCTCGTTATACTGAAGTACCATAAAGGTAATCGCCACTCCCGCTAAGGAGAGCCACACGAAGCACTCGAGCCAGAATGGAAGGGACCTGAAATTGTTGAGTCCAGTAGTTTTGAAACTGAAGAGGGACAAGGGAGCTGCCCCCTTGAAAGTATCTCACAACCCAGTATGAAACAAATCACTGATGTCGTCCAACTCGCTGGCGCTCACTGTGCCCACTGTCCTTGAGATCCAGGGAGATAGGGACTCACCTCATCTTCTCTAGTCTCTTACTAGCATAGTAAGGCCTAGGACTGATGTTTCTAATTATGCTGCTACTCGAATGGGCTGGTTCTCGAGTCCCCCCTTCCTTCCGGAGCCCACCCCCAATGCATCCAGTTCCTTTGAGAGCAGAAGCACTCACAGCCTCGATCTCCTCTTCCTCTTCGTCAATAGTAGACACCGTGACAGAGCTGAACTTGCCCATGTCTTTCGTCCGTTTGGTCATCATCACCTGGCGTCACAGGAGGAGGACTCAGTGTCATTCACTGTAGTTGGCTCTGTGAACCACGCATGCGCCGTGTCCATGCACGTGCGCGCACACGTGCGGGACTGCAGGGGGTGGGGGCTGCGGTTGGGGCAGGGGACGCTCACTGCTTTGGGACAGGCTGGCCTATCTAAAAATGCCAATGGTTTTTATTTGGATTATGTTTTTCTAACATTTGCCATCAGGGCTTTAAAAAGTATATTTAAAACTCAGCCTGACTCATTTCGTTTTTGTTTTTTTTGTTTTTAACTTATCTAAATTCAAGTTACTTAACATACAGCATAGTATTGGTTTCAGGAGTAGAATTTAGTGATTCATCACTTACATATGACACCCAGTGCTCGTCCCAACACGTGCCCTCCTCCACGCCCCTCACCCGTTTGGCCCATCCTCCCCCTCCCAACAACCCTCAGTTTGTTCACTGTATTTAAGGGTCTCTTATCGTTTGCCTTCCTCTGTTTTTATCTTAGTTTTCCTTCCCTTCCCCTATGTTCATCTGTTTCTTAAATTCCAAATATGCGTGAAATCATATAATTTTCTTTCTCTGACTTATGTCGCTTAGCAGAATACACTGTCCACACTGAACGGGGAAGACATTTCAAAGGAAATAAATGGTAATTAAAACCATACGATTTCTAACTTTACTCACAGGACAGCTATAGGAAAGGAAAAAAGTACACATGACTGACGTTACACGTAACATCTGCTTTTACATAAAAATGGCATTCTCTTAATAAGGAATGCATCCATAAAGGGCGATTTCTCATTATAATCTCATTTAAAAATGTACGGCGATCTGTAGCTATATTAACCAGTCTGTCAATAATTACCTTCTTAGGAGGCTCTTGTTTCTGAGTATAGATATTTGTTTTGCCAAAACCCTGGCCAAACTTGACTACTGCTCCATCCACGATGAAGGTCACAGGCGCATTCTTCGGCTGGGACTGATAGAAGAGGGGCAGTCCACACCTGCAAACAGCACAGCGAACCTCTGAGGAGCTCAGAATCCAAATCCCCCAAAACACGGATTCACGAAGTATGCTCAGATCCCGGGAATAGTTTTGCTTGTGGCATAAACGAACGATTCGCTCCTTCCACTGCTATCCGGATCACTAGAGGAATCACTGAGGAATCGCTTTTATAAGCAAGAATGTATTAAAACTGCTGCTCGGATTCCCAGGTCCCTCCCCCAGATGATCGTGATTCAGCAAATCTGGGCGCTGAGACCTGGGAACCTGCCATTTGCCTCAGCATCCCAAGTGGTTCGTATCATTAGACAAGTTTGGGAAATGCTGGCGCCTGCTACTGGCGGCTTTCCAGTTAAAACTGCTCCCATTTCGGGACGCCTGGCTGGCTCAGTTGTTAGAGCATGCAATTCTGGATCTCATTCGAGCCCCACGGTGGGTGTAGAGATTACTTAAAAAATAAATAAAATTCTAAAAATAATAGAAGTTTCTAAGAACATATATATGTATATATATGTTTCTAAAAATATACTATATGTATATATGTGTGTGTGTGTGTGTGTGTGTATATATATATATATATATATATACACACACATAGTTGCTGCCATGCCATTCTTCCAAGAATTCTGGGTAACTAGTCTGAGGGTTGTTTTTTGTTTTTTGTTTTTTGTTTTACCAGAGCATAATTCTTTTTTTTCAAATTTACATCCAAGTTATTTAGCATATAGTGCAACAATGATTTCAGGAGTGGATGCCTTAAAGTCCCTTACTAACCATTTAGCCCATCCGCCCTCCCACAACCCCTCCAGCAACCCTCTGTTTGTTCTCTATAATTAAGAATCTCTTATGTTTTGTCCCCCTCCCTGTTTTTGTATTATTTTTGCTTCCCTTCCCTTATGTTTATCTGTTTTGTATCTTAAAGTCCTCCTACGAGTGAAGTCATATGATACTTGTCTTTATCTGACTAATTTCGCTTAGCGTAATACCCTCTAGTTCCATCCACGTATTTGTAAATGGTAAGATTTCATTCTTTTTGATTCCTGAATAATACTCCATTGTGTGTGTGTGTATATATACCACATCTTCTTTATCCATTCATCCGTTGGTGTACATTTGGGCTCTTTCCATACTTTGGCTATTGTCAATAGTGCTGCTATAAACATTGGGGTGCATGTTCCCCTTGAAAACAGCACACCTGTATTCCTTGGATAAATACCTGGTTAGTGCAGTTGATGGGTTGTAGGGTGGTTCTAGTTTTAATTTTTTGAGGAGCCTCCACACTGTTTCCCAGAGTGGCCGCACCAGTTTGCATTCCCACCAGCAGTGCAAGAGAGATCCTCCTTCTCCGCATCCTTGTTAATGTTCGCCATTCTGCCAGGTGTGAGGTGGTGTCTCAGTGTGGTTTTGATGTGTATTTCCCTGATGATGAGTGATGTTGAGCAGTTTTTCACATGTTGGTTGGCCATCTGGATGTCTTCTTTGGAGAAGTGTCTATTCATGTCTTTTGCCCATTTCTTCACCGGATTATTTGTTTTTGGGGTGTTGGGTTTGATAAGCTCTTTATAGATTTTGGATACTAACCCTTTATCTGATATGTCATTTGCAAATATCTTCTCCCATTCGGTCAGTTGCCTTTTAGTTTTGCTGATTGTTTCCTTTGCTGTGCAGAAGCTTTTTATCTTGACGAGGTCCCAATAGTTCATTTTTGCTTTTATTTCCCTGGCCTCCAAGACATGTTGAGTAAGAAGTTGCTGCGGCTGAGATCAAAGAGGTTTTTGCCTGCTTGCTCTAGGATTTTGATGGCTTCCTGTCTTATGTTTAGCTCTTTCATCCATTTTGAGTTTATTTTTGTGTGTGGGGTAAGAAGATGTGGTCCAGTTTCATTCTTCTGCATGTTGCTTTCCAGTTCTCCCGGCACCATTTGCTGAAGAGACTGTCTTTTTTCCACTGGATACTCTTCTCTGCTTTGTCAAAGATTAGTTGGCCGTGTGTTTGGGGGTTCATTTCTGGGTTCTCTATTCTGTTCCATTAATCTATGTGTCTGTTTCTGCGCCAGTACCATGCTGTCTTGATTACAGCTTTCTGATACATCTTGAAGTCTGGGACTATGATGCCTCTAGCTTTGGTTTTCCTTTTCAAGATCGCTTTGGCTATCCGGGGGCTTTTGTGGTTCCATATAAATTTTAGGATTGTTTGTTCCAGCTCTGAGAAGATGCTGGTGTTATTTTGACAGGGATTGCAGTTGGTCATTTCTATTAGACTTATTTTCAGTGACATGAAGTAGACTCATGAGATGTGATAAAAACGAATTTAACGAATCCAGGGTGGCTGTGAACTAAAATGTCTTCTTGGCCATCTCCTTGCCTTACTTCTCCTTCTAAGAGCCAAGATGTAACTGTACTTACGTCAACAAGATTAAACTTACTGTAGTTTAGTATTCTCCCAGCTCCATTTAAAAAGTGATACTATGTTTTTAAAAAAAACATTTTTGTGGCCAGCTGGTCAGAGATGTGACTTTGACTAGTCGGCTGTTAGGGGAGCATACTGGCGGTTGTGTAGTTGAAGTTCAAAGGCAGTTGAGATTATAAAGATAAAGATACAATAAAGAACTGTATCCAAATAATTTTTTTCAGAACACATTACTGCCTCTCCTTTCTTATACTTGGAGAAACCCACACTGTGAAGTACTTACTTTGCACACTTCTTCCGGTACTGTCGTTCAATGCCTTCAGGCCTGCACAGAAAATGGAATAAAAAAAAAAAGGTATGAACAAATCTCATAACCTACCCACCTCACTACCTCATTTCTTCAAATGGTAACAGGGCCTTTCAAAACTTTTCATTTCCTAGATCAATGGTTAGTTAAACTTGTATTAATTTTAATCTTTTTTTTTTTTTTTTTGAGAGAGAGAGAATGTGTGTGCCAGGAAATGCATGGAGGTGGAGGCAGAGGGAGGGAATCTTAAGCAGCCTCCACGCCCAGCGAGGAGAAAGGGGGGCATCAATCTCACCACCATGAGATCAGGACCTGAGCTGAGATGAAGAGCAGGACGCCCAACCGACCGAGCAACCCAGGAGCCCCAAACCTCTATTAATTTTAAAACATTCCTGCCTCCCATAAACACTTCCTGAGCCTCTAATACAAGCCAGGCATCTCCCTGACACAGGAGGGGAGGAGCAGCTATAGTCATAGCAATGGGCGCAGTCACAGGAATAACTATAACAAAAGCAATAATAATACTCACAACCACTTGTATAGCTTTTGCTACGTGCCAGAAACTGCTCTGAAGTATACATGTATTTCATTTTTTTTAAGTTCATTTTTCAGAGAGAGACACACGGCCTGTGTGTACACACGCAAGCAGGGGAGGAGCAGAGAGGGAGACACAGAATCCGAAGTAGGCCTCAGGCTCCCAGCTGTCAGCACAGAGCCCGATGCAGGGCTCGACTCACAAGCCATGAGATCATGACCTGAGCCAAGGTTAGACGCTTAACCGAATGAGCCACCTAGGCGTCCCGTATTTTTTAATTTTTAAAAAATGTTTATTTTGAGAGAGAACAAATGTAAGAGAGAGTGGGGGGGGGGCAGAGAGAGAGAGAGGGAGGGAGAGAAGAGAATCCCAAGCAGGCTCCACACTGTCGGCGTGGAGCCTGACTCAGGGCTCAATCTTACGAACTGTGAGATCATGACCTGAGCTCAAACCAAGAGTCAGACACTTAACCGATGGAGCCACTCAGACGCCCCTCGAGTATACATGTGTGAAGTTCTTTCATCCTTACGATGGCCCTGTGAGGTAGGTCATATTATCATTCCCATTTTATAGATGAAGGCTCCTAAGTACAAACCAATCACATGATTTGCCCAAGGTCACAGTTAGGAAGCAGAGTAGGCTGATTTCAAAAACTAAAAAACAAAAAACAAAAAAAAAAACACAACAACAACAAAATAGACTGACTTCAAGCCCAGGCCCGTCTGGCTCAAGAGCCCACAACACCGCCTTGGCTAAGTGGCTCTTCCACCCACCCAGGTGCTGAGAAGAAACCGAGGAATCATCCTTGATTCTCTTTCCCTCACTTCCCAGATCTACTCCATCAGCAAATTCTGTGGATTTTACCTCCAAGAAAAGTTCCTGAACCTATCTACTTTGCTCCACCTTCCTGCCACCATCTTAGCCCAGGCCACCAGTGTCTCTTCCCTGGACGACTGTCACAGCTTCTGGACTAGTCCCCTCACTCCCTCTCCCCTTGTTTCCATTTTCTAATAGGCAACACGTATACATGGTACATATTGGTACATATAGAAGGGTACCCTGGGGGCGCCCGGGTGGCTTAGTCGGTTGAGCGTCCGACTTTCGCTTGGGTCATGATCTCGCGGTTCGTGGGTTCGAGCCCCGTGTCGGGCTCTGTGCTGACTGCCAGCTCAGAGCCTGGAGCCTGTTTCAGAGTCTGTATCTCCCTCTCTCTCTGACCCTCCCCTGCTCACGCTGTGTCTCTCTCTCTCTCTCTGCTAGAAATAAATAAAACATTTAAAAAAAAAAAAAAAAAGAAGGGTAGCCTGTAGGGGCACAAAGAAAAGTAAATCTCATCGCCACCACCCTTCACCCACCCCGTTCTCTTCCATGAAGGCGAATTCGGTTCTGGCTTCTTCTGTTCCTCTGAGACAGCTGATGAGACAAGCAAAGAATCCTTATCAGTGTATAAAGAAAACAGATTTTCTTTTCCTTTTTAGACAAAAAGAGCACGCCTTACAGTTTTCTACTTCTTTGTTCATTTAAAAATGTATCCTGGGGGCGCCTGGGTGGCTCAGTCAGTTGAGCATCCAACTTCAGCTCGGGTCATGATCTCACAGTTTGTGGGTTCAAGCCCTGCGTCAGGCTCTGTGCTGACAGCTCAGAGCCTGGAGCCTGCTTCAGATTCTGTGTCTCTCTCTCTCTCTGACCCTCCCCTGCTGGCTCACGTGTGCTCTCTCTCTGTCTCTCTCTCTCTCTGTCTCTCTCTGTCTCTCTCCCTCAAAAATGAAATAAAAATAAAAAATTAAAAAAAAAATGTATCCTGGTTGGAAAACATACAAGTGACCTTTCCCTACCAATTCCTAAAGAGTTGCCTCATTCTTGCTGAGGGCTGCACTGCATTCCTGTGTATGGATGAACCAAAATGTCTTTTACCTGTTGGATAAGTGCCTAGAAGCGTATCCACTTTCATCCTGAAAAATACTGCCAAATTACGCTCTCGACAAGTTGCACCAACTCACACCCCCACCACCAATGCGAGAGTTCCTGTTTCTCTAGTCTCCCCAACACAGTAGGTCTGTTATTAAAATGCACGGTTGCCGTGGTGCCTGGGTGGAGCAGTCGGTCAAGCGTCCACCTTCGGCTCAGGTCGTGATCTCGCGGTTTGTGAGTTCGAGCCCCGCGTCGGGGTCTGTGCTGACAGCCTGGAGCCTAGAGCCTGCTTCAGATTCTGTGTCTCCCTCTCTCTGCCCCTGCCCTGCTCGCGCTCCGTCTCTGTCTCTCTCTCTCTCTCAAAAATCAATAAGCATAATAAAAAAATTTTAATAAAGAAATAAATAAAAATAAAATAAACAGAGGCAGGAGTGGCTTCCTAAGCTACCTAGAAGAGAATCCAAACTCGCTACTGCGGCCTCCCGGGCCCCAACCAAGCACCTGACTGGGCGCCTGTCTCTTCCCACAGATGCCCACCTGCCCTCACTGCGCGCTGGCCACACCAGGCTTCTGTTCCCCGCAAAAGCAAGGGCTTTCCCACCTCTGACCTTTCACACACGCCCTCCTCGCCCTCTCCCCGGAATGCTCTGCTCACTGCTTTCCGAGTCTCATTTTTTGGGGTCACAGAGACCTTCTCTGCCTACTTTTTCAAAGAAGTTTTCATGAGATACCCTGTATTAGCCCTTTGTTTCGCTCACAGGACTTTCCATAATCGTAATTACTTTAGTTTTCTGTCATCCCACTAGACCATCCGACTTCGGCTCAGGTCATGATCTCACAGTTCATGGGTTCAGGCCCTGCATCAGGCTCTGTGCTAACAGCTAGCTCAGAGCCTGGAGACTGCTTGCGACTCCGTGTCTCCTTCTCTCTCTGCCCGTCCCCTGTCCATGTTCTGTCTCTGTCTCTCAATAATAAATAAATGTAAAAAAAAAAAAAGAGAGAGAGATTTAATTAGTAATCAAAACACTGCACAAAGAAAAGCCCAGGACCAGTGGTTTCACTGGTAAATTCTACTAAAAGTTCAAAAAATTACTACCAATGCTTCACAAACTTTTCAAAACAGGAAGACACACTTCCCAACTCTTCATATGCAGCCAATATTGCTCTGATGCCAAAACCAGGCAAAGATACAACAAACCAGAGAGCAATATTGCTTAAGAACATGGGGCGCCTGGGTGGCTCAGCCACTTAAGTGTCCCACTGCAGCTCAGATCATGATCTCATGGTTTGTGAGTTCAAGCCCCATGTGGGGCTCTGCGCTGACAGCTCAGAGCCCGGAGCCTGCTTCAGACTCTGTGTCTCCCCCTCTCTCTGCCCCTTTCATGCTCATGGTCTGTCTCTGTCTGTCTCTCAATAATAAATAAACTTTAAAACATTTTTTTAGTATATTGCTTAAGAATACACAGGCAAAAATCCTCAAATGAAAATAAATACTAGCAAACTGAATCCAGCAACATATAAAAAAGATTATCTGGGGCGCCTGGGTGGCCTAGTCGGTTAAGCGTCCGACTTTCGCTTGGGTCATGATCTCACAGTTCGTGGGTTCGAGCCCCGCATCGGGCTCTGTGCTGACAGCCAGCTCAGAGCCTGGAGCCTGTTTCAGATTCTGTGTCTCCCTCTCTCTCTGACCGTTCCCTGCTCATGCTATCTCTCTCTCTCTCTCTCCTAGAAATAAATAAAAAAAAAAAAAATTTAAAAAAAAGTACAACCATTTAAAAAAAAAAAAAAGATTATCTAACACAACCAAGTGGAATTTGAAATCCCACGAAATCAAGATTAGTGCAACATAGGGGCGCCTGAGTGGCTCAGCTGGTTAAGCATCCGACTTCGGCTCAGGTCATGATCTCACAGTTCATGGGTTCGAGCCTTGCATCGGGCTCTGTGCTGACAGCTAGCTCAGAGCCTGGAGCCTGCTTCAGATTCTGTGTCTCCCTCTCTCTCTCTCTCTCTCTCTGACCCTCCCCTGCTCACGCTGTCTCTCTCGCTCAAAAATAAATAAAAAACATTAAAAAAAAGAAAAGATCGGTGTAACATACAAAAAATTTAACCAGACCAATACACCATAGTAACAGAATAAAAGAGAAAAAAAACACATGATCATCTCAACAGGCCCAAAATAAAAGCATTTGACAAAATTCAAAACCCTTTTAATATACTAGGAATAGAAGGGAATCTCCTCCACCTGATAAAACGCATCTATGAAAAACCCACAATTACCAAGCTACATAAACTAGTATCATACTTAATGGTGAAAGACTGAAAGTTTTCCCCCTAAGATCAGGAACGAGACAAGGATACTTACTCTCAACACTTCTATTCAACACTACACGAAGTCTAGCCAGGGTAACTTAGACAAGAAAAAGAAACAAAAGGCATCCAGATTTGAAGGGAAAAAGTAAAACCATCTCTATTTGCAGATGACATGATCTTACATATAGAAATCCTTCCAGATGCACAACTAGAGTTAACAAATTAAGCAAGGTCGCAGCATACAAGATCAGTATATAAAAAT